TGGGGGTGGGCAGAGATTTTTGCGCAAAAACCCAGAAATTATTCTGCCCATCTCACATGGAGCCTTTCTGCGAGTAATTTGCGTTAATTCATGTAAGGTAATTTGTTATGGCATTGCGATGCGACATTGTTTCATTTTACCGAACCACTTACACTGATCTCCCGAGCGGATGATAAGATCGGCAATGTTTCATTATGAATCTCAGGTTTCCGGTTTTATCCCCCTGCGTTTACTTACTCGGTTAATAATTCTCTTTGCCCATTCATGCGATTTACGGAGAGCTGTCAGTTACAAGAGACGTTGTCGTGGCGCCGAATTGCGCTGTACTTTGCCGTACATTGTAAAAGGGTGGTGGTAATTGTTTGACTGCGACTAATCCCGATCTAACCTTCGTAGTAATTAACGAGTTAACCTCTGGTCATAATTAATTGTACGGTTAAGTCTTTGAGGGGCTGACAAACGCTGGCTTTACGCGAGAGAGGCATCTAAAGTTTAGAAGAAATTTACACTGGCATGGCTAACTGGAGAATTTTTATAGCTCACTGTAAAATAAGTGCTTGGCTCGATATTCTGATCAACCCCTCGAAGAAGTCCGTTAATGTCTACACCCCTTCTTACGGCGGAAATATCACGAATCTAGCCCCTACTTAGAGCGCTGGAAATTTTTCTTTCAGGTGATAAAAAGCTCTGCACCTTACTCGGAATAATTATTGCGTTTTAATATTTTCCATCGTTAGACAGAGATATTTTCGTTATTAGAAGAAACGGTCAAAAAGCGAAGTGAAACTTGCGGAAGCTGTGATACGGTGCTGATTAGACGTATCAGCCTCAGTTAGTAATTCCGTATCGTTAGACATTTTATCCATTGTTGGCGACCAACTATCATAGGACACACATATCTATAGTCGGCATAAACATATTAGCGAAGTTCCGTCGCGGTCAAACAATTATTATCACGTACTTTAACGGTTTTATCGAGGTCTACCCTGATGACAATTGATTAACTGACAGGAAGAAGGCGAAGAAATGCGAGAATTGAGATTTTTCACGACAACAGCTTAGCAGATGGAGACAAGAGAAATATTTTAACCCTTTATATACTTTACGAAAAGATGGTCCAATGAATAAAAAAAAAAACACAGAAGAAGAAAAACAAAGAAATCTTATTTACGAGGTAAAAAATTATCGTGCTACGAATGTACTGTTAAGACGCGACGGGGTTGAAGGGGGTGGGTGGGAGGGGGGTTAGGGGGCGTCGATATATCGAGCGCGACTTACATGTTAATGTCAAATAGAGATTTATTTTAACCGAGCGGAAAATTTAACGGAGGCTACCGGAAATTATACAGAGAGGCGGGGGTAACGAACCTATTATGGTAACACGTGTAGATACTCTAGAATGTGTAGTTTGATCAAAAGGTTCGAATTTACGTATTATATACATATACATATACATAAACATACATGTACGTGTACACCTATAGTTGAGCCGAATTTAATCAACCTCATTCTGTACGACGTACGTGGGTGAATAAAGTCTTTATTTTTTGGCCTGCATCGTTTTTATATGGTGTAACCTTCATTCACAGGTCCCCTTTGCGATCTATAATTATTTATTGTCTTGATTAGACGCCCTTATGTTCATGATTCGTGTCGAATAGTAATAATTAAACAGTTAAAGAGGAATTGTGTTATGCAGTCAGGTACATTTTGGTAAGTATACTTTTTGCGAGATGTCGAAGACGGACATGTTGAGCTCCATGAAGGTGTATTTATTGAGGGCATGTTTATTAAATAACTTTTCCCACGGGATTTAAATTCAACACTCTTCTGCAAGTTTTGTAAGCAAATGTTACCGAGCGAAACTTCTTGGCCATTCTTTTCTAAAGCTCTGTGAAACAAGTTTCGAAACTTGCATCAAGTTCTTATTGTCTTTATCTTGACTACGTCTTTCATCCGGACACTAAAGAGTTCCCATGGCTGTTGCTGCGGTTTTACATAAAAATTGTAAATTAGAACTTTAGAACAATGATATATCTTCTCTGGGCACTGAATTTATCATTTGATTTTCCACATCGTGACAGATTTTGGCCATTTGTTTCCAAAGGTTCATAATTTAACTGTTGAAATTAGCACTACTCTTCGCGTTGTTATTAACTTTATCTCCCTGTAATTGAAGTGTTGAAAATTTACACTTAATTCCTAAAATTCGGGTCCTCGTTATATTTATCTTGAGTATGTATTTAATCCTAATATGATGGCTGAGACCGTAATATCAGATAATAATTGTACCGTGATTTGCGACACTCGTTTCTATATTAGCACTACTCTTCGCAATCTTATTAACTTTATCTCCCTGTAATTGAAATTTTGAAATTTACACTTAATTCCTGACATTCGGGTCCTCGTTATATTTATCTTGAGTATGTATTTAATTCTAATATGATGGCTGCGATCGTAATATCAAATAAAAATTGCTCCGTGATATGCGACACTCGTTTTTATATACGTTCGAACAACGATTCGATTAATTTTATCTCCCTGTAATTGAAATTTTGAAATTTACACTTAATTCCTGACATTCGGGTCCTCGTTATATTTATCTTGAGTATGTATTTAATCCTAATATGATGGCTGAGACCGTAATATCAAATAAAAATTGTTCCGTGATATGCGACACTCGTTTCTATATACGTTCGAACAATGATATGTGTTTCATACCGGATCATGAATTTAAGACCTGGTCGCGTATCCCCTAGTACTCTTAAAATATAATCTTTAATATTTTTAGTATGGTGGATCACATCGTACACGTATCAAACATCACTACTGTCGGTTGATACTTTATTGACGCAACGTGAGAATTGTGGAATACCGCAGCATGCATATTTCGTTTGTTCTCGATAATAAATTACAATCTAAAAATGTCATCTTTTTATAATCACGAAGAACTCGTGCATGATTCACGTTAATATGCGTGAGCTGAAGATAAAAAAATGACAGATTTAAGAATTTTCTGGTTTTTATTTTCTACTTTTAGGAGTCTCACGTGAGAGTTTCCTTATTCTTTCCTTTTGTTAAATTCCGGAATTAACCCGACAGATCTACCAACAATGCATTAATTAGAATTAACGTCGAAAGGCGTACTTTTTTGTGACATTAATTTCGGGGGAGAACTGGAAGAGGAGAATAATGAGAATACACCCTGTTGGCTAAAAGATTCTTGAATTATGAGGATGCATGGTGTAATTAAACGGGGTTACGAATTCCAGTCGGGGGTAAAATATTAGAAGGAAAAAAAAGAAAACGAATAGGGAGGCAGAGTTAGGAGGGAAAATGAAAGAGAGGGAGAGGTAATAGGAAATACTTTGAGGATTTACAACTCCGAAAATAAAGTACACCAGCCAGAGCCACAAAATGTACCGTCCATTTGGCCTTTTATTTCTATTTCTCGTCCTTCTACTGCGCCAGGAAATGACTATGAGGTGAAAAGAGAAGGACTGAAAGAGGACATTATTGAACCAACAAAAAAGGAAAGTATGAGGATGTTAAAAGGATCCTTCGTCTGCCCTCCTCCATCGCAATTATACCCAGTGATTAATTACTGGGCACAATTCGGGTTTACTGGTATTAATATCAAATATTTCATTTCTATTATGATATTTATACCCATTTATATTTATTACGTACTCTTAATAGGATGTGAAAGTGGCATATGCGAGGTTCATCGTTTATGAAATTTTTCACCAAACTGGGCGGTGAAATTTCATTTTTTACAGCAAAAAATGTCGAAAATTCATTTTTTTAAAACAATGCAATTGCAATTCTTTTATTTTACGTTTTTCTACGTGAAACTTAAGTTACAAAGTGCGTAAAAATGTATGTAAGTCTCTGTGGATTTTTATCAGTATATGAAACATGGGGAAAAATGACACTCGTACAATACGTTACATGGTAGAAAAAGCATGTAATATATATTACATACATTTTTATATAATACGAAGAAACTGAGAGGAAAAATCGTGCGGCGTGCTCGCAAATGACACTCGTACAATACGTTACATGGTAGAAAAAACATGTNGCAGAGCGCACTGACTAATTCCAACTAGTCCCCCTACAAACTAGTGCAATAAAATAAATAAATAAAATAAATGCAACGAAATAGATAAACGTAGACGGGTTGTCGCATCGATTCGGTATGACCACAAGTTGAAGTCGTAGAAACTAAGTCATTTGGTGGTTTCAGGGAAGTGACCAGCGAGCGGTCCATCCGGCTGAAGATCAAGACCGACGCTTGCGCCGGCACCGAGTACGCAGTGAACTACTTGGAACATGTTCAAGCTGTCATCTCCGTGAACGCTACGCGACGCGGCGACCTGGAACTATTTCTGACGTCTCCGATGGGGACGAGGTAATCGAATTGAAATTGCGCGACGCCAAGTAATTGGAGGGCTCGGCGGGACGAGGAGGGCCGGGGAGGTCGATCGAAGCGAATCGAGAAGAAGCTTCCGATCGGCCGAGAGACTGAGCATGACATTTTCCGGGAAAGGGGAAAGATGTCGGCAGCATCGGTTATGCAATACCGTCCCATTGTTGGTTATTCAGAGCGAGATATAATGTCGGGAGAGAATTGATTGCGTCCGCTGTAACACGTCATTAAATGGCCATTGGATGTTGTACCTGCTCACGCAGAGAGAAACGTGCCGGAGATTTCCAGAAGTCGACGTTTTTCATTCAAATGTCGTGAAAATTGGCCACGTGTCACGCTGGGCAACTGTAATCAATTTTGTATATTTTTTCTTTAATCCTTTGAACACGTGGGCGGCATATGGGCGAAATTCGTCTGACCGTGCAGGCGATATTGGACCAAACGTCGGGCGCCTTTAGGTGCTCTTAGTAGCCAAAGGGTTAAATGGTTATAGATACGTACACCGTTTCTTCAATGAATTCTATCTTCAAGTAGTTTAAAGGGAATTTAAAGGTACCATTAGGCAGATTATGGAAGTAGGTTAATTGCAGGAAGGTGCGCGTTTAATGACACTGGCAGGGGATAATCGTCTCTTTTTACAGATCGATGATTCTGAGCAGAAGAATTAACGACGACGACCACAGAGATGGATTCTCGAAATGGCCGTTCATGACCACCCATACTTGGGGAGAGTATCCTCAAGGTACTTGGCTTCTAGAGGTGAGTCCAGGAGTAAAGGTAGTAATTTACAAAACAATTGTCAGGGGAAATTTAGGGCGTTTCGATGCTACAGTACGCGTATGTACGGTCAAAGAGATTAGACAGAAAAGGATTTTCCCTCTCTAACCATTAAAGTATCAGGATAATTCCTAGGTGCTCGCAAGTCATGTGTCAAAGTTTCAGACGGTTCGATCCAATACCCTTAAAAAAAGGGTCTTATTCGTATTCGACTATTTTGAAAGGGGTTTCACTTCATCTTAAACAAGAAAAATTGTTTCGGAATCATTTTCACTGATTTCCGAGCGAGTCATGTGTCAGAGTTTCATACGGTTCGATCCAATACCCTTAAAAAAAGTGTCTTATTCGTAATCGACTGTTTTGAAGGGGGTTTCACTTCACCTTAAACAAGAAAAATCGTTTCCGAATCATTTTCATTGATTTCCGAGCAAGTCACATGTCAAAGTTTCATACGGTTCGATCCAATACCCTTAAAAAAATGGTTTTATTCGTAATCGACTGTTTTGAAAGGGGTTTCACTTCATCTTAAACAAGAAAAATCGTTTCGGAATCGCTTTCATTGATTTCCGAAGGAACACTTCGCCGTCTAGGGTTTCAGGGCTTGTTATTTTTAAGCCAATGTCTGTTTTTTTTTTTCGATGAGGGTTGATTAATTATGATTTCTTTCGTCCGTAGGTGAGTTTCAACTCGCAGAAACCCCAGCACGGTTGGATCCGCGAGTGGACTCTGATGCTGCACGGCACCAGAGAGCCACCTTACACGGGACTTCCGGCAGCGGATCCGCACTCGAAGCTCGCGATCGTGAAGAAGGCCCACGAAGAACGTTCCACCGCGATGTAAACTGTGCCGAACGATCCGCAGCCTGGTCACAAGCTCGGATCGAAATTTCTCAGTCGATCGGACAGTCTTCGGGAGACCCCGAAGAACCCTTTCTCGTCTTCGTGGTCGTTCTCGGTGGCGTCTCGGAAGCACGATCTCGATGGGATTCTCGAGGGTCAGGAACCTCGTCGAGAGCTCCACGGTTAAGGTGATATGAAATTGTCATTCTATATACTAAAACGTCGAAGTATCTATAAAACTTTTCGCCTAAACTGGGCACATTGAGTCATTTGGAACGTTAACACCTGATTATGGCCCTAAGGAAGGAGCGCGATGCTCGTGAAATTTCATTTTTCAAACGATAACTTTCTCATCCAGAACCAAAAGTCACACTTTCTCGTGATAATTGAAATTTCACGAGCATAGCGTTCTTCTTTAGGGTCTCCGTAATCAGGTGTAAAGTTTCGAATTATTCGGTGCTCTCGGTTTGGAGAAAAATTTTATGAATATTTTTACGTTTTGTGTATTTAGGATGGCCCTTTCATATCACCTTAATGTCTTCGATGACGAACCTGGGAATTTCCAATGATTTCAATCCCTTTTAATATCAATCGAAGCATTCCACTTAAGTTTCCGCGGAATTTGCGATTACAAAGGCGACTTGAAAGTATTACCGGGATATATAGCGAGGTCATTTCTCAATTAAACGATCCAATTGACTTTAGACCATGAAATCCAGTGGGTATTTCCGTCTGCCAATTGGATGGATCGTTACCTGAACAATTAATATTACTTTACACGTATTCGTTTCCTCATATTTTTTTCTGGAATTAACAAGAATGACGTAGAGTCTTCGTGAACTTACTTCGGTCACATCATTGTCCAGGAATGTATGTTCGTACATAGTTTATCATAGGAGTAATCGCGACAGTTCCGATGGGGCTCTATGTCGTGAATAAATATTTTTGTTTTTTTTTCTCCCGATGATTTCTGAATATTATGTATGGATTATCACGTGGATTACTCCGTCGAGGGGGAATTTACCCAGGACGAGAAAGGGTGACGATCGGCGCTCATTCGAAAATGATTGAAGCGAGGTTTAGCACAATTAGCTCCGGCACGATTCCTTTTCCTCGATTTTTTACATGTCTCGCTCGAGAGTGTGTTGTATAATTTCCTCGAGCGACCAGGCGAGCCAGCGTTCAGTTTTTCGAGTACAACTAGTCATACCGGGAAGAATCGTGACGTACTGACACTTTACATATCTTACGTTCCTCCTACGTCACCGTTTGGATTAATTTAAAGTAGCCCACAAATCCCCGGTCCGATTAACCTCGGTCAAAGGGCTAATCCTCGGTTACAACGAGTTGCCCGTTCCGCCGCCTTTTAACGGCGGGTTAACTGCCATTAACCGCCGTTTAGCTTAAGTTAATCCAACTTCAATCTATAAAACAGCACAAACGTGAGGAAAATCATGGGTTATGTCTAGTATGTATTAACATCTTATGAACCGATGAAGACGTTTTTCATTTTATTTACAATTTTTTCCTGGCCGAGTACGCTTGATAATATTTTATATTCATTATTAACCGAAGAACTTTACTTCTTGAGGCTAACATCTGTTGAATAATTTCTTGTACGAAACTAGGGGGACTTTGGGTCTCCATAATGCATTTATCTTGTTTTTTAATTGATTTGTTTATACAATTACTTAAACGCGCTCTAAATAAATGTGGTAGAACATTTACGTCCTTATGCCACGATTAACTTGGACGTTAAGTTTAACCTGCGGTCAGGTAATCAACGATTTAACTGAGGTTGGTGGAACCGGGCGTAAGTTCGTTAAGTTCGTTAAGTTTTCGTAATTTACCGATCGTTCGTTTGTTCAATTGCTTCTAGCATTGCGAGAGGTGTGTATCGATATCATTTTGTATTTTCATACACGTACTTGCTGAAGACCGAGTATCTCCGCGCGCACTCGTTTTAGGAAGGATACTGTATCAGTATTAGATAGACGTGATTGTTATTTTCATTACGATTAATATAATTAACATTATTGTCATAACTGTCTCCACAGGTACGGAACCAGTGTTAGCACCATTATTAGCGTTATAATTATCGCCGTCATCGAGGTAATTGTCATTCTAATGAACTGCACAGCCGATCGAGGAAGGCTCGTTGCGAGGG